TATATGGGGTGTTTTTTGTATTTTTTATCTTATTCTTAATTTCTTTTCCTTTTCCCCTTCTCCTTCCTGTCACTTTTCTGCTTTAAAAACCTTCTTTGGGGCAGTAATAGTTGAACAAATGTTAAAAGTTATATGATATTTTTTTTCCCCTATAGGAAAATCCTGTTTGAAAACAGAATTGCAATTTTCTGACTATTACTGTCTCCTTGCTGTCCATGTGCTTATTGATATATGGAGAGAAACGGGTAAGCAGCAGTGATTTCAATTAAACTTTTTTTAAATTATAAATACTATGTTCTTTCCTTAGATTAAGTATACAATCCATGAATTTGATTTATACTTTTAGGTCTTTCTTCCTTTCCCTTTTTCCAGGTTGCTTCTAGAAGAACCCAAGTCTCCAATTTATCCCCCTCCCTGTAATCAGAGTAATCTTAAATCAATAGATATTTGTTCTGTTTTTTAATGTTTCTAAATAATGAGTGATGACTGTAAAAAACCTATTACAAAGCTACAACAATTAAAATATAATGAAACTGATTCATAAATAGATGTATAGGCTTATGGAACCAAACATCCCTTTTTATTCACTTTAAAAATTTTATATGCAGGAAAATGCATTCTTTTTGAAATACAGTTCTGAGTAGCTCATTTAAGACAAAAATTTAATACATAATAAAGGAAACATTATGAGTTACTGAGGAAGAGGAGGATGATTCAGCAAATGGGATTGCCTTTTCTTTAGGTTCTCCCACCTGACATTTTCTCTTATTAGCAGTTTTGGGTAAAAAAATTAACTTTAGGTGCTTATGCATTACTGAGAAATGCAGAAAGGTATTATGATTATGCTGCAAAGTTAAAACAAGAGTGAGGCCAGGCAGGTGGCTCACGCCTGTAATCCTAGCACTCTCTGGGAGGCTGAGGAGGGCGGATCGTTCAAGTTCAGGAGTTAGAGACCAGCCTGAGCAAGAGCAAGACGAGGTCTCTACTAAAAAAAAAATAGAAAGAAATTAGCTGGACTACTAAAAATACATATATAGAAAAAATCAGCCAGGCATAGTGGCGCATGCCTGTAGTTCCAGCTACTTGGGAGGCTGAGGCAGAAGGATCGCTTGAGCCCAGGAGTTTGAGGTTGCTGTGAGCTAGGCTGACGCCAGGACGCTCTAGCCCGGGCGACACAGTGAGATTCTGTCTCAAAAAAAAAAAAATGGTAAACAAGTTTTCCCTATAAATGGCAAACAGCAATATACTTTGAATCCTTACTCTTGGCATACATAATTTTGAAGTCTTTACTTCTGCCCTGCAGTCGATGTTGACGCATGTATTTTGTTTGTTGACCTCAGAGATGCTTTTGACTACTCTTTGTGATTATTTAAGGGCATTTTTCTGTTCCCTGTAGTGCTATTTTAGGAAGACAGTATTATGTTCTCTTATAACTTTTATGTTCCATTAATCATCAGAGTGTAAGAAGGCATAGCATAGAACTTTAGGTCTCCCACAAAAATGAATTAACTTTGCTGTTTTTCTTTTCTTTTTTTTAATTTCATCCTGTGAATTAGATCATTTCTATGGCAGGATGTTTTACTTTTTCCTTATGCCTAGCTATTTCTTTGCCAGGTGTATTCTAAGTGTAGTATTTGATACTGGAGGTGGGTAAATATAACACGTATTTTTTTTCTTTCCTTCCGACCTAGTTATCTTTTGACCCGATACGCGGAATCTCTAGGTCAGTATGCTGCTGCGTCCCAGTCCTGTAACTTCGCACTCAGGTTTTTCCACTCCAACCAGAAAGATGTAAGTGAAAAACTTTTTTTACTGTGGTCTTGCCTGCTGACTACACACAATTCAGAGAGTGCATTACCTCATGTCACAAGTGCACATGTTGAGGTGCACCATGCTGTACTAGCAAGTGCCCTTAGGCCACAGCTTACTTTCCAAGGCTGTTAGGGAGAGGTAAAGAGTTATTTGTGTTTGTTAGAATGCCTGTGTTTAGTAGAATCCTTGGAAAGTTGCATTTCAAATTGGATACTAACAGACTAGAAAGTGTTATGCTTCTTAGATGTATCTTCTGATCTCTAGGAGACTTTTCCAAGGGTATGAGAAACAGCCCGTAAGAGTTTATAGCCTGGGATGCCATGTATGATTCTGTGATAGCAGCTGCTCTCTGTTACCTTTATTTAATCCTGACGTTTTTATCTACTGTACCCTTTGCCAACAGTGAGTACACTTACATTTTTTAGAAAATTAAAGAACATTCCAGGATATTTAGGTCAATAATATGTTTTTTAACGTAGCAACAAATAAGATAGAGTACACATATTTTCTAGAAAATTAAAGAACATTCCAGGATATTTAGGTCAATGGTACGGTTTTTAAAGTAGCAACAAACAAGATACAAAGTGTCTCTGTGCCATAACGAAAGGATGGGATTTGCACCATATTTTTCACTGCAAGCAGACTTGGACTCCACTTACTGGTTAAGTAGAAATTTTTGTGGAAAAACCATATGGTCTCTACTCATTCGATCAACCACACCAAACTACCCAAGGAGTATGGAGAGAAGGCATATCTTTAGGGTGGGCACTGCCTACTTGGTTCTCGTTACTTCTAAGACTCATTGCCTGGAATTTGGCCATGCCAGATATGTGCCCGTAGCTTTCCATTTTCATGGTCTATCAGCTACTAAGGAACTTGGCAAGGGAATTGGTATCTGGGATTCTTGGCAAACACTCGTGAGGATTTTTTAAAAAAACCCTTTTATAACAGCTATGGCTAATCTATCTTCCATCTAATTCTTTACGGGTGTATTAAATAGAAGGCAGGGCAGAAATATTTCTGCAGAATAGAATATAGGTTTGTTGTTTTCAGCTTGTGATAATTATGTTTTGACAAGCTTCAGGGAGTGGCCTAGAGGGCTGGAGTAGCGAAGGATGGCTCTGAACGGTGGAAAGCTTCTTCTTGTGCTTAGATGGTGAGCTGTGTACCATCAGTTGGTTTTTAGCCCGGCATCCCCCCCAAGTCTTCCTCCTTTCCTCTAATAATTGATATGTCTGTTTAGATCTCATTTTGGGGCACAGCTTCTGATCAGGGAGCGAGGGAAGTGGGTATTAGTATCTGAGCATGCTGTTCAGAAGGTGTTGGCCTGGCTTAGAGGTCAGAAGGACATCTCTAGGACATTGGGTTTCTAAGATCTCCTAGCGTGAGTGGGCAATTGAGTTGTAAATCTATGAGTTTTCACTGTGTGTTCAAGTATCTGTGCCTGCCCTCCTCTGTTTTCAAGAAGTTTCAGTAAAAATATCAAAAGAATTCATTTCCTTAAATCTCATTTTGGCTCTCATTTCTATATTTATAAGAAGGAGATCAAAGAAACATTTTATTTGCTGAGGAATCCTTTTCAAAGCTTTGTTTCTCAAATAGCTTTGACATAGTGGCAGTAAATAAGGGATTAATTCAAGTCTGGTGGCTGGTTTTCCTCCAGTTTTCAAGCATTCTAGAAGAATCAAATATGGCCACTTCATGAAGATTTGGTCGTTAAAGGCATATTATTATTATTATTTTTTTAAGAGATGGGGTCTTACTCTGTTGCCCAGGCTAGAGTGCAGTGATGCAATCATAGCTCACTGCAGCCTCTAACTCCTGGGCTTAAGCAATCCTCCTGCCTCAGCCTCCCGAGTTGCTGGGATTACAGGTGTGAGCCACCATGCCAGCACATTATCTTATAGTAATGAAAGTTAATTTTTTTCTTCCCACAAATGTTGTATCTGAAGAGTTGTTTTGAAAAAACAAAAATCCAAAAAACAAAACCACAAAATATTATAATATAGGGAAAGGAGATCCCCTGGAGCAATTTGAGAGACTTTGTTATCCTCAGTGGGTTTTTTTGTATCATTTTTTTCAATGTTTTGCTGATGGTTGAGTGTAGCAGAATTGACTAATTCATCTCAATGCATGTGATATTGAATCTGATAAAATTGTAGCATTTTATTGATCTGGTTCTAGGACTTTTTTTGCTTGAAATTTATTTTTATTACAACTAATTGAGAAGATGGAGCTAATTTAATCATATAGAAGTAGATAATCTTGGGGAGTCCTGGAATCAGAAGAAAAGCACAATACAGCAAGGAAAATGCACCTTAATGCCAAGTCCCAGAATAAGAAAATAGAGACTGTGATGTGGACTGTTTCCTAAAGGACCTGAGGCTAAGAAAGATCATAATTGTAGTGTCGTACTATGTGTTAAACCTTCTGCTCATAGTATGAGAAACATCTCTCTTCAGGGCCAAAACTCTAATGCTCTACATCTTTTATTCTTGGTAGTTTTGGGGATCCCCAGATGCTTTTTTCTTGGGTGACTGATGTACTTCAATTCCCAACTAGCTCTTTGAAAGAACACTTTTACCTAAAGGGAAAATCCAGTGTTCTGCTTAGTAAGGGTTCGTGCTGTGGGATTGAAAGTTATATTTGGAAGGTCTACATGGGAATTTTCTTTCTAGAAAGGTCATTGTCTACTGTCATCTTTCTTTGGAATAGATTTTTTTTTTTTTACAATATAAGAATCAGCAGTAGGTTTTCATATCTCCAAAAGTCACTTACATGTTTATACATTATAAAAATTTCCCTTTAAAAATCTCTATTTTAGGTATTCATGAAGATCATTATTCAGGGGTTTGATGTCCATATATTTTGCTAATTTTTACAGCAACCAGGGTTCATTTCAGGAATCCATACGGGACCTAAATAGCCTCGTTGGTGCATAAATGAGTAGAAATAGGTATGGACAATGTATTTTGATATTTAGAAGTCTTTAAAGTGCCTGTGGCTTCCAGTTTTGCCTGCAGTTCCTTCAGGGGTTGTTTCTTCATATAGTAATACTTTCATAGCCTTTGTCCTATTGGTCTCTTCCCAGGCTCTTGTCTAGCTCTGCAGTGGTACTTTACTGCAGCATTAAAGGAGGACTATCTAAAAAAGAAAAGCCAGAGAATGATAGTTGCCTTCTTAATTTGTTAAAGACTATATTCTCCCTTTTGCCCTGTATTTTTCTCTTTTAAAAGCTTCTGCCATTTTTCTAAAGTGGTATTCCACGGACCATTCAGAAATTAAAACTGCCTCTACACTCGGTAAGGCTGCATTCTAGTCTTTAATCACAGCATATTTTGGAACTGTAATTTGTAAATTTGTTTGAAATTAACAGAATCATATTTTCTTCCTGATTAATTGCTAAATCACGTATTCCTGACCAGCCAGTTTTTCCAAGCTGTAAGTTCCTATTGCAAGGGCTTATAGGAAACCTTGGTATGTTTTCTAAGCCAAGGGGCCATAGGATAGACATACATGTTTAGAGTATCCTGGCCTCTTCTTGATGGGGTGTATCACTATCCCTTAATCAAGCTAGAAGGTACACTCAGTCTTTTTCAGGTAGTCCTTCTTTAAACCTGCAGGATCACAAGTAATCTTTTTAATTTTCTTGTGTCCGTCCGTCTTTAATTTCTCCAGATACTGCAGGCAAACAGCTCGCCGAGGTGTTCCATGGGGGTTTAAAAGCCGCATCGAATGCAGTTGAATTAGCGCCCGTGGCGCAATCCCGCGGCCTGAAATGAACCCTGCGAGGCTGTGTATCAGAGGGTATGTTGTTGACTATTGGCCTATTTTTCTACTGGGCAAATTATTCAGACATAATGGAGATATGGGGGTAGAGCTGACTGACTAAGGCTATATAAAGATTGGCTTTTCCAGAAAGGATCTTTGGGGCAGACATCAGCTTTGAGCTTAACACTTTCTTTGGCCCAAAGGGGTAATTTCCTGTCTTCTGATCCTGATGGCAGTGCTGCCCATACCCATAAAATGTGCTTCACTGAGATTTTCTTCTATTGTGCCAGAATTTCTGTTTAGAATTCTTTATCTTGCCTCTGTTCTATAATGTTTCATCCATATATACGTGTTAATCTACAATTAAAGCACATGTGGTGAGTGTTCCCTTCTCTTACTTGTTTATGGAAATTTCCAGCAGAGGTCTTATAGTTTAGATGGACAAGAAACCTAGTTCTTGAAGTCTTTCTGTCCTCAGAATGGATTATGACATGTATTTTTATAGGTCTGTTGTTTGGTGTCTTACTTATTCTGATATAATGCTTATATGCCCTGTGTTTGTGATACAGTATTCGGAAATAAACAAAACTAAGGAGCAACTTGTCTTTTTCTGAAGGAGACTGATTTTTATTTGGGGTGGAGGGGTAGCTATATTATTCCGGTATTTTTAGAACCTTTGTATGAAATACAGTTTATCCTAGATGCAGAAAAACATGGAGTAATATCCCTTCCAGAATGGCACTAACCAAATTTTTGACTGATATGGCAAAACAGAACTTCCAGTCCTGTTGAATTGAAAGACATGACTGCCAAGAGAAGGTCTATGTGATAGTAGCAGCAGCTGGGTATTCTAATTAATAATATTAGTAAAGAAGACATTTATCTCAGGTATAGGAAGGAATAAAAATAACATTTTTAAAAGGTGACATTCTATTTGGTGACAAGACCTTTAACAATTAGATTCAAAACTTAATTTTAGTTCGAGTGTTTTGTTTTGGCTGGCAAGGGTTGCTTACGTTGCCTTACTTGTGAAATATTTATACCAAGGTGATGTCTTTCCTTCCCAGACCTCAGAATATATTATTCAAGCTTACAAATATGGTGCGTTTGAGAAGATCCCAGAGTTTATCGCTTTTAGGAACAGGCTGAATAATTCTCTTCACTTTGCACAAGTCCGTACTGAACGGATGCTGTTAGATCTTCTACTTGAAGCAAATATGTAAGTATTGCATAACAGCTGGAAAGGAACTAAGGGATTAGAGATCAGATGCTGAGAGCCATTAATGGGCTCATGGGTGTCATTAGCAGGCTTAAGGAATAATGGACAAAAAAGAGAGAAAGGGGGTTCCTACAAGAAAGAAAGAGAAAACAGAATCTGGGTGCATGTCATGGGGAATGATAGCATACTGCCAGCAACATCTCAGGTCCAGTACAGAAGCCAACTAGGCCATGGTCATCACCTCCTGGTCCATATTGTTCTTACAAGGTCTCCCCCTCCCCTACAAACAAGGGATTTCAGGAATTAATGCTGATTTCCTTTATTTTAGTTGGGCTTCCAGAAGCCTTTCTTTTGCTGTGTAGCAAAACTGTATGATCTGTGCTTGGTTCTCTTTTCCTTTATATGAACCTTCTTAATAATAAATCCTTCCTTTCTCTTTCCCTTCCTTTCTCTTTCCCTTCCTCTCTTTCTAATAAAACCAAGTCCTGGTTAACACATCTGCATGGTTGTTTTACTACTGAAATAATACATAAATAAATTTTCTATGTCACAGATCAACCAGCTTAGCAGAAAGTATAAAGTCAATGAATCTTAGGCCAGAAGAAGATGACATTCCATGGAAAGATTTGCGAGACAACAGAGACTTAAACGTTTTCTTCAGCTGGGATCCAAAAGACAGGTAACTAGAATTTAACCCTTAGCCATTTATTTTTAAAGAATTGGGATGAATCTAAGATTTAAAAAGAAAAAATCTACTTGTTACACAAATATAAAATGTTTGTTGTAGGGATCAGGAAACACAGGTAAGCCAAATGAAGAAAATATCTCATCCCCTATGTTGGGACTCCTGGCTAATCTAAAAGTTAGATCTACTTCGCACCATATGTAAGAATTCCAGAAGGATTAAAGACTATATGCTAAAACTCCTTAGAAATTCTAGAAGAAAATATAGAAATTTTTATTTATTTTTTTGAGACAGGGTCTCACTTTGTCACCTGGGGTAGAGTGCAGTGGCATCATCATAGCTCACTGCAACCTCAAATGCTTGAGTTCAAGCAATCCTCCTGCCTCAGCCTCCTGAGTAGCTGGGACTATAGGTACCCACCACCAAGCCCAGCTAATTTTTCTATTTTTTGGAGAGAGGGGATCTTGATATGTTGCTCAGGCTAGAAAATATTTTTAAATGAGTGAGGAAAGCCTTTCTTAGCATTATATCAAATCTGGAAACAGAAAGGATTTAGCTTCGGTAAATAGAAATAATGTGTTCTAAAGGTTTGTGGTAAATTTCTTCATACAAATATGCTTCATAGATATAGGGAACTTTTAATAAATTGATCAGAAAGAAACAGTGGGCAAAGGGCTTAATAGGAAGTTCAAAGAAATGCACCTTATAGCAATAAATATTTTATTTCTAACCAAAAAGGTTAATAATTGTGGTCAGCAAAGATGTACGGAAAATGTTTATGGTTGTACATTTACATGGGAGTAAAACTTTATATAACTGTCTTATAGGGAATTCTAATGATATGTATCAAGATTAAAAATGCCACATACTGGCCTTGCCTGGTGGCTCACACCTGTAATTCTTGCACTCTGGAAGGCCAAGGTGGGAGGATTGCTTGAGGTCAGGAGTTCAAGAATAGCATGAGCAAGAGCGACACTGTCTCTACAAAAAAATAGAAGAATTAGTCAGGCCTGGTGGCACGCGCCTATAGTCCCAGCTACTCGGGAGGCTGAGGCAGGAGGGTTATGAGCTCAGGAGTTTGAGGTTTCATTGAGCTGTTGTGATGCCACTTGAACTCTAGCTGGGGCAACAGAGCAATACTCTGTCTCAAAAATAAATTTAAAAAAAATGCCACATACCATTTAATTCAGCAGATCCACTTCTAGGAAAGCAGAACCTAAGGAAATAAATGCTCAAACATAAAAAGATGTGTATATCGGGTATTCTGAAAACACTGTGATTTGGGGTTGCCAAGACCACATTCAGTGATTCACTAGAAGGACTCAAGGGACATAGCACATAGTTGCACTCAGTGGCTAAGGTTACTGTAGCAAAAGGATACCAGGCAAGATCAGTAAGAGAAAACGGCATGGGCAGAGTCTGGAGGACTCCACAGATTTCCAGTGCTCTCTCCCTCCTGTGAAGGGACACACTGGGCATGTTCTTTTCTCTAAGTAGCCAAAAAATGCAGTAACATATGCACAGTGTTTCTGACCAGGGAAGCGCATCAGAGCTCAGTGCTCAAGGTTTTTATCATGTGGTTACATAGGCACATTCTCTGTTCAGCAGGTATTAAAATTCTAGACTCCCAGAAGGAAAGCAGGTGTTCATCATAAACCACAGGGTTTGTATAGTATAGGCCCAGTGAGCCACTCTTATCACTTAGGGAATGGTTGCAGTACAAATTTCCCAGATATCAGCCAAGGGCCAACCTTGTAAGGAGGCCCTTCTAATATGATAGTAACTGTGTTAACTGCTTTGTTAACTGCTGCTGTGTTAACTCTTTACTGCATGCACTGTTATAAAAAGATGACATTTGCAAAATAGTGTAAATGCTGTGAACCAATTTATTTAAAACTAAGTTGTGTAAATACTATTTTTTTTGTCTTGCTCTGTCTCCTGGGTATAAGTGGCATTATCATAGCTCACAGCAACCTCAAACTCCTGGCTCAAGGGATCCTTCTGCCTCAGCCTTCTAAGTAGTTGGGAGTATAGGCACGTGCCACCACACCCAGTTAATTTTTCTATTTTTTTTTTTTTTGAGACAAGGTCTGGCTCTGTTGCCTTGGCTAGAGTGCCGTGGTGTCAGCCTAGCTCACAGCAACCTCAAACTCCTGGGCTCAAGCGATCCTCCTGCCTCAGCCTCCCGAGTAGCTGGGACTACAGGCATGCGCCACCATGCCCAGCTAATTTTTTCTATATATATATTTTTAGTTGTCCAGATAATTTCTTTCTATTTTCGTAGAGACGGGGTCTCGCTCTTGCTCAGGCTGGTTTCGAACTCCTGAGCTCAAACAATCCACCCGCCTCGGCCTCCCAGAGTGCTAGGATTACAGGCATGAGCCACCACACCACGCCCGGCCGATTTTTCTATTTTTTGTAGAGACAGGATCTTGTTCATGCTCAGGCTAGTCTTGAACTCCTGGCCTCAGTGAATCTCCCACCTAGGTCTCCCAAAGTGCTAGGATTAAAGGCGTGAGCCACTGCGCCCTGCCAGTGCTACTTTTAGTTACACATTTTTATACATTTATATTGCAAAAGTCAAAGGATCTATACCATGCGTGTTAATACTGTGGATGTTTTGTTTTCAGGCACTTTTTCTTTCTGTTTTTTTACTTTTGAATTTTTTATATCATGTATTTTATCAGTAGAGAAAAAAGTTTCCTTTAAGGGGAAAATTACCTTTCATTCCTATTTTATTGATGGTGAAATGGGCATTCAGAAGATTTTGGCTTGTCTAAGGTCATTTTCAGCTAGTAAATGAAAACTGGAGCCATTCAGAGGCATCTTGACTGGTTAAAGCAAACTTTGATTGATTTGAAGGCAACAGATTCAATAAAATAGATGGTTTGGGGATGTTTCTGTTTAAGGGATGTTTCTGAAGAACATAAGAAACTTTCCTTGGAGGAGGAGACCTTGTGGTTAAGAATCCGATCCTTAACACTGAGGCTGATCAGTGGACTTCCAAGTCTCAACCACCCTGTGGAGCCAAAGAACTCGGAGAAGGCTGCTGAGAATGGTGTATCTTCCCGGATCGATATTCTTCGTTTGCTCCTTCAACAGCTGGAGGTGGCCTTGGAGACAGGAAAGCGATTTACTGAGAAGGAAATTCAGGTATTATCAATGAGTATTTGCCATCGTAGCTACAATAATTATGTTTGTGACTGTCTTTTTAAAAATAGGAGTTTTGGTGGGTAAGTACCAAAGAATAGCATTTTGTCCCAGTTTATTGCATCTGTGGGAAAAGAGGAATATTACAGACTCAGAGGGAATTGCAGGGGCTTCTTTAATATCTACAGGATAGTGAGATCAAGCAAAATAGCTTTTTTGGGGGGGGAAGATGGTAAAGTTTTAATAGCTAGCAATAAATTAATACAACATTTTTGTTTTTACCATAATGATTCAGTTATTAGTTTGCTGATTAATGACTTTTAACCAAATCATTGAAACAGGTTTTTATCCAGTATGTTAACATGCCTTGTTTTCTTATTTTGTATGAATTTAGATGGTTTTAAAGGACATAATGTTTCCCCTCTCCATTTTTTTTTTTTTTTTTTAACCCCCCTAGTATCCTTTCCTTGGTCCTGTACCTACCAGAATGGGTGGATTCTTTAATTCTGGATGTTCTCAGTGCCAGATAAGCTCTTTTTATCTTGTTAATGATATTTATGAGCTGGATACCAATGGTTTAGGTAAGTGTACACTTCCAAGTGTGTTTACTGGGTCTTTGTCATTGAAAACTTAATAAATGCAATAAAATGTCTATAACCTCTCACAGTTGGAAAAGTTTGGAGTAGATGGAAGCTGTTCTAGAAATGTGGAAATGTCTGATTTAGTATCCAAGAGGATACATTACAGGTTACAAAGTAATGTTTTGGAAGCTTAAGACCTTTCCATATTTGAAATCACTTGTTAGGTTCAGTTGAAGAAATCCTTCATTTGTTGAAATATTGTTGGACTTTAAAAATCAAGCCCTAAACTTTGTGGAAAAGAGATTTTTTTTTCCTAAGCTCTCAACCCAGTGAGAATCATAAATATTCCATAGACCATTTTTGAAAATCATAGATTTGTAGATCCTGTTATTTAGAATATTTGCAGCACATAGATTTCAAGTCCTTCTGAAGAATTTTAGGTAGTACCCTTGGAAGAAAGGTAATTAATGTCTTTTCTTTTCTCTTTCCTTTTTCTTTCCTTCATCTTTATCTCTGAACCATGGGATTTAGATGCCAAGGGGTCTTAAGCTAAGAGAAAATGTCCTTGCACATGAACTGCTTACAGGTATTGATCTTGCTTCATTTTACAAAGAAAATGAAAGTTTTTCATTTTTTGTTTTTTAATTTTAGAGGATACGATGGAGATCCAGGAGCGAATAGAAAATAGTCTTAAGTCTTTACTAGAACAATTAAAAGGTAAGTGTTCTTTCTGAGGATGCCTGTATTTATTATCTGGTTGTTTGGCAGTAGTTCAAATTTTTTTTTTCCTACAAATCTTGCAAGAGGATTTGAAAATGATAATGCATGCCTTTGGGATTTTTAAAGACTTGTTAACTATTAAAAGTTAAGTTTTGATTACACAAATAGTAGATACCTGTTATAAAATGGTACAATAAAATGGTGCGCACCTGTAGTCCCAGCTACTTGGCAGACTGAACCAGGAGGATCGCTTGCGCCCAGGAGCTCGAGGTTATAGTGAGCCATGATTGTGCTACTGCACTCCAGCCTGGGCAACAGAGTGTGAGACCCTGTATCTAAATAATAATAATAATAATAATAAATAAATACATAATATAAATAAAAATAAATAATAAATAAAATTTCCTGCAGATCATATGGGGCAGAAAAAATAAAGAGCTTAAAATAGATACTATATCCTTTGGAGTTTGGTTCATTATGGGAAATGAAGGGAAAAAAGCTTTGTGGATTAAGCTTTTATAGTTGTTTATTCTTCATTAGATTGTGCATTGTGTTTCTAAAAACAGCATTGAAACAAAAAGCTGAATAAAACCATAAAATATTTTTTTGTTTTCAGATGTCTTCAGTAACTGTAAAGGTGATCTCTTAGAAGTTGAAGATGGTAACTTGAAAACACATCCTACTCTTTTAGAAAACCTAGTCTTCTTTGTTGAGGTATGGTTTTGTTCTCTTGCTGAGAGAAGTGATTTTCCTTAAAAGTATATAAGATTCATTTTCCAACAATGAACAGGTAATAGGCACCTTATACCTGCAATTTAACCCTCCTACTCCTGCTTTTTGTTAATTGAAAAGCAATTTAGGCTAGGTGCAGTGGCTCATGCTTATAATCCTAGCAGTTTCAGAGGTTGAGGCCTCCCAACTCCTGATCACTTGAGCTTAGGAGTTCAAGACCAGCTTGGGCAACATAGTTAAGACTCTGTCTGTACAAAAAAATAAAATATTAGCCAGACGTGGTGCCACATGCTGTAGTCCCAGCTACTCAGGAGGCTGAGACTGGGGGATTTTTTTGAGCCCAGGAGTTTAAGGTTACAGTGAACTATGATTGTACCACTGCACTCCACCCTAGGTGACAGAGTGAGACCCTATCTCTAAAAGAAAAAAAAAAGTAATTTGAATCATTTTCTAAACTAACTCCTTGCAAGAATTCCAAGAAAATTTCTTTCATAATTCTTAGGTAAAACTTGTTGATATTTGCTTTACTCATTTCTAAGGCTCCCCATGTGTACTCCAAATCTAGCTATTTTCTCTTCATCCTCTTTTCTGATTCACTCTTTTTTTTTCCTTTTTTTTTTTTTTTGAGACAGAGTCTCACTCTTTTGCCCGGGCTAGAGTGAGTGCCGTGGCGTCAGCCTAGCTCACAGCAACCTCAAACTCCTGGGCTCAAGCGATCCTCCTGCCTCAGCCTCCCGAGTAGCTGGGACTACAGGCATGCGCCACCATGCCCGGCTAATTTCTTTATATATTTTTAGTTGTCCAATTAGTTTCTTTCTATTTTTAGTAGAGACGGGGTCTCGCTCTTGCTCAGGCTGGTTTCGAACTCCTGAGCTCAATCCGCCCGCCTTGGCCTCCTAGAGAGCTAGGATTACAGGCGTGAGCCACCGCGCCCGGCCCTGATTCACTCTTTATGACATAGTCTACATTAATTTGTCCAGCTTCTCTTATTTGTTGTTGTCACTTTCTAATTACTGCAATATTATGCATTAAGAAGTCCAGGAGCTGATATAGCAAAACTCCCTTTTTTTTTTTTTTTTTTTTTTTTGCCAGAGAGAAGAGGAAGATCACAAACACTCATAATCCATTGTCTTTCTTTTTATTTCTGTCACATATTTATTTACTTTTCTCCCCCTATTAGTCTATAAGCTTCCTGAAGGCAGTGTACTCTGTTCCGATGACTGGCACATTGTAAATGCCTAAGAGATTCTTACTGAATGAACAATAACTGGAAATATATGTACATACACAACACTGTAGTGTAGGAGAAGACATGTAAACAGCTAATTTAATACAGTGCAGGATATGTGCTGATCAATTGGGGGGAGTTCTCCATATGTTTGTAAGTTAAGGTTTGCAAGTAAGATGGTATTTTATCTGGAGAGGTGTGAGGGGAGAGAGGCATATTCTAAAGTACCTTTAGATTCCACCAAATGAAAAGGACGTTAATAAATCTCTACTTCTATAGGAAAGTGAAAGAAAACTGTGCAGGGGCAGATGGATATAGAGCTGGGAGAGCCAGAATAATAATAAAGAGTTAGGCTATTGTAGTATTCTGAGCAGGAGATGACAAAGGCATGGATCAACGTGGTGATTGTAGAAAGCAGAGACTCGAGGGAGAAATTGAAGGGATTTGCGCAGAACTGCCAGTTAGAATGTCTTTGTTTCATCCATTGCCTTTAACTTCCTGATAGATAATGGTAGTGCAGTCCTTATTCATGAATTTGCAATTTTTCCTCTTTCAGACTATTTCTATTATCCTTTGGGTATCCAGTTACTGTGAGAGTGTCCTGCGACCATACAAATTAAATTTACAGAAAAAGAAAAAGAAGAAAAAAGAAACCAGCATCATCATGGTAATAGCAAGAAAACACAACTAACATTTTGGTCACATGTTACTTTTTCTTTTCACTCTTTTCTTCCATGTTGTAAAAGTCCTTAGGATACTGTATACATTCCTCCCCACAAACTTTTTTTTTAAATCACACACCTACAAAAAAGTTGAATGATTAGTGCAATTACACCCATAACAGTCCTTACCTAGATTATCACTTGATAACAGTTTACCGCATTTGCCTTATGTCTGTCTCCCCCACTCCCCCTCCTTCCATCCTCCTCACCCTTTCTCATTTATTGAACCATTTGAAAGAAAAGTATAGACTTATGTCACTTAACATACCAGGATAGAACAAAGGGCAAGTCTCCTACAAAACCACAATACTTAAGGAAATTTCACATTTAAGAAATTTAATATTGATACAATAATATTATCTAATAAAATTTATATTCAAGTTTTTCGAGTTATGCCAATTATGTTCTTTATAGCCTTTTTCAGAATACTAGCATGCTATCAAGGATCTGACATGACCTTTAGTTGTTATTTCTCTTTATCCTTCTTTAATCTAGAACGCTTCCTTTACCTTTCATTTTGTTTTGACTGTTGAAAAGTCTAGCTAAGTTTTGGTAGAATGTCCCACTATCTGGATTTCGCTAATTACTTCCTTAGGTTTAGGTTAAATGTAGACACTATGTCCTTTTTTGTGATTTCAGATTTCATTATTTGATTAAGGAAGTGTCTACCAGATTTCTTCATTGTAACAGTGCCTTTTTTTTTTTTTTTTTTTTTGAGACAGAGGCTTACTCTGTCACCCCAGCTGGAGTGCAGACCTCAAACTCCTGGGCTCAAGTGATCCTCCTGCCTCAGCCTCCTGAGTAGGTGGGACTATAGGTGCGTGCCACCGCGCCTGCCCAACAGTGCCTTTTTTTCTTCTGAAATTCATAAGTAAGCTATGAGATGATGCTTTGAGGCCGTGAAATTCTATTTCCCAATGGCCTTTCATCTATTGGTTTTGGCACCCATTGTTAGTAGAAATTGCCTGAATTATTTATTACATTAAAGTGTCCAAAATGGTGATTTTTAAAAATTCTATCCTCTATTACTTACCAGCTGGCATTATTTTGTAAAATAGAGCTGTCCCACTCTAATTCATATATATTTGAATGTATAAAAAACATATATGTACATATTTTAAGTATCACTATTTGGGTATCACTATGGACTCTTTTTTTAAAATTCACTTTATTATAATCTATTATCAACTTTTTTTTTTTGGATGCTCAAATTGTCCCAAATTTGGGTAGCCGCTTTAAGCTGGTGTCGGTCATTTAACATGTCCTTGTCAGTTGTTTGTTTTGTTTTGTTTTGTTTTCAGGTCCAGGGAGAAGGGGCAGGTGGGGCTGCCGCTGCCTCCCCTGAATGGCCCTTGTCAGTTTTTGAGCCCTTTCTGGAACAGCAAAAATGCTCCACATACTTTGTATTTTCTCACTAAACTGAAATCACACATTTTTTCAAGAGCCCTTGTTTCTTCATGGGAAATGGTATTTTGAAACCAAGATCTAGGTGTTACTGTGCTTATTGCTAAGGGGCTTTTATTGCCTGTAGTTTTCAGTGGAGAGACCTAGGCAATATATT